AGTTTTCCTGCAAGCCCCCTTCCCCTCTTCAAGTTTGTGTATTTACTCTACCTTGCTAACTGTCTCTATTTTAATGCAAATAACATGTGATCTGACCAACCTTTCTACATGAGACTGGATAAAGGCTGAAACAAACTGGCATCAGAACAAGAGCATGCTCCAAACACTTTTCATTATCTTCCCCTGCAACATCAGACCTTTTGGCAGGGATATCTGGATAAGTCATATCTAAATCTTTTATTTAGAAAAACCTATTGAACAACCAGATATCATACGCAGGGGCGCAACTACATATTTTTGAGGTGTATGCGAAAACAAATGATCGACGCCCCCCCACCCCCCGTACAGTAACCAAAAGAACACAATGAGAGATGGTCATCCCAAATTCAAACCATTATGGTATATATGTTTATGCTGCCTCCCTAATGTATTTATTTCTACCTGATGTCCTCACTTGTCTCTTCTATCACCGACCTCATGTTTGTCTCCTTCAACCCTTGTCTGTGGCGTTCTCCACTAAGTCATATGGTCAAAAAGCATTATAAATTAGTTGTAAAAATTACAGATCTTAATACAGTTTTTAAAAATAATGTTTAAACATTATCGATTGGGATTAAGTAGCTGTTCCCTCACTTCCACCTAATATTAGATCAACCTGTTGCTTTCCCCTGTCTGTCCTGATTCTTCCTTTGTCATCTTCTCTTCTTTCTCTCCATCCTCACAGCTGAATTAAATTAATTTTATGTTAAGTAGGGTTAAAAAATACAGCAGTCAAACCACAATAAAAATTAATCTTTATATTTGAATGATCTTCTTGTTGGATAAGTTACTGACTGGACACTGCATCTTATCTGACTTATCAGATATTTCACAACACCACTGTAGTGATACTGAATAAAACATTTAAACTCAAGTGTCCCCCTGCCAAAAAGGTTGGTAACATGGGTCACCGAGTCTAAGGGCTATAATAACACTGGATTAATGTGTCTGATACACACATAAACTTGTACAACTCATCTTTAATTATCTCCCTTTTTCTTTTTCTGTTTTGCGCCCCGGATAGTTTTTTTTTTTTCTGGCGCTCCCTCTTGCTGGTAAGTGCGCACTACAAATGATAGTCGAAGATAAAAAAAAAAAAAAAAAGAAAAAGAAAAACACGCCTGAGTGCGTCTCTTAGGGGCGCGTGCGCAAGCCACCTGTGTGGGAAAGGAGAGCGACAGGAGGAGAGGTGAAGGGGGCGCATAATCGGTGGGCGTGCATCAGAGGGGCGCATAATCAGTGCTGTCTTTCTGTTATTGATCGTTTTATGCTGTTAAATATAGAAAATTACAACTAGAAATATTGATTTTCTAGAGGGGTTTTTTGACGCCCCCTCAAGTGCAGCGCCCCTATGCGTTGCATGCGCTGCATACCCGGTTTTTGCGCCACTGATCATACGGGTCCTAGTTTCAGAGCCTATTTATATTGTCCATTCACCAACAGACTCATTTATATTGCAAAGCTCACTATGTGAAAGAAACTTAGAGAATAGTTGTATTTTGTCTTCTCTCACCTTTTCACGTCATTCAACATTTCATCCTAGAGGATGACAACAGTATGATTTCAGTATTAGAATAACATTTATTACACCCAAGGAAAAGCACTACATATAAAGCTATAATTGTCCCATTTATAATTGTCTCAAGGTGATTCCTTCTTGCATTTGTGACAGTTATACTTTGTGCAGTACACACAACACTCAGTGCTGTGGTTCCTGTTGCAGAGATTGCACACATGGCCTGCTTATAATAACAATGAAAAAATCTAAAAACAATAAGACTTAAGCACATATTCCGAAAGTAAGGGTTGTAGTATGAACTAGATGAGGTTATCTATATGTGTTCTGTTTCATCTTTTAATAATGTTTTATTTTAGGAAAAGTTTGAATATTTCCACTTAGTTAATCTTGTTGCTTTATGGTGCCATCTAGTGGACAAGTCAGGTAGATACGGTTGTGTACTTTTTAATTGGAAGAGACCGTTTTCCATGGGAAGTGACGTTTTTAGCAGCGCGGCAGACAGATGATGGCAGGGAACATGTCGGCCGTCTTTAGACCGCATTTGCCTTTCATTTTTGAGGTTGGATCGCTGGTATGTGCACAAATGTATTTATGTTTGTTCAATACTTGTGTTATTCTGTAGTGACTAGAAATGAGTTAAGCAACCGTAGATTTTGATTTGTATCAAGTTAATGCTAGCGAACCAGACGGTCGGCAATATGGCGTCTCTGTTGATTACTGTTTTATCTTTAATGTTGTTCTATAATTTAGATTATACACAGTGCAGTTCAAGCATTTTATGGACATATGCATTATGTAAATGCATTGTATTTTTTTGTCTCCATTTTTGTCCTTTTCTGATTTTACCCTTTTTAGTGTCATTAAACCTGCTTAGACACATCACCGTCTGCAGAGTCATTGATGCAAGAAAGGTGTGAACATAACAGCACAATGTGTGCTACAAGTTTTGTGGCACTACAATGATCTATAGTGTAATTATCATATGCTTATGATAACAAAGAAAATATCTCCAAAAATACAGTCTAGCCTATCTTCCCAAAGTAAGAAAAAAAGGATTCCTTGGAACTGTAAATATACAGTCAGCTCTATTGCTGCAGTAACCTGGGAGATTGAAGATCTCGTCAAACAGGCCCAACAGACTGAACCTGATCCTGGAACCGGGCCACCTAACAGAATCTATGTACCTTCCTCCATCCGAGCTTGTGTAATCATTTGGATTCATTCTTATAAGTTTTCTGCCCATCCAGGGATCGGTCGAACGGTAGCCCACATCAGTCGGCGCTTTTGGTGGCCCTCCTTGCTAAAGGATGTAAAGGAGTTTGTTTTGGCCTGCCGACCTGTGCTCGCAACAAACCCTCTCATCAACCTCCTTCCGGACTGCTTCAACCATTACCCATCCCCAAGCAACCCTAGTCTCACATCGCCATCGACTTCATCACAGGTCTCCCCACCTCAAAAGGTATGACAACCATCCTTACCATCATTGATTGTTTTTCCAAGGCCTATCATCTAGTCTCTCTGAGAAAACTCCCCACAGCTCTGCAAAAAGCCCAGCTTCTCATTAAACATGTTTTTTGGCTTCATGGAATACCTCTGGACATCCTGTCTGACCACGGCCCGCAGTTCATCTCCCAGGTATGGAGAAGTTTTTGCTCGGCACTTGGGGCCAAGGTCTCTCTCACTTCCGGTTACCACCCTCAATCCAATGGACAAGTAGAGCATATGAATCAAGAGTTGGAAGCCAGCCTCAGATGCATCACAGAATGAGTAACTTAAGCTACATTCAGTAACCACTAACTGGAGTCAACTCCTTTCATGGGTCGAGTATGCACATAAATCCAGTGTCTCCGTCGCCACAGGTCTATCTCCATTTGAGGCATCCATTGGTTACCAGCCACCCCTTTTCCCGTCTGAAGAGGCAGAAATTGCTGTACCCTCCGTCCAGCAACACATCCGCCGCTGCCGGACCTTCTGGAACTGGGCCAGGACGGCCCTGGGAAGGACCTCCCAGCAGAATCAGAGGTGGGCAAATCGCAGGAGGAGGGTTTCCTCATCCTATCGCACGGGCCAGAAGGTCCGGCTCTCCACCCGTGACACCCCCCTCATCAAGGTGATGTCAAGCAAACTCTCACCCAAATTCATCGGACCCTACGAAGTGGAGAAAACAATCTGAGACTGCAGTCCGTCTCCGTCTTCCATCCTCCCTTCGTATTCACCCTAAATACCACGTCTCCCAGGTCAAGCCAGTCTCGTCTAGTCCTTTGTGCCCACCCGCTGAGTCCCCTCCCCCTTTGGACATTGATGGCCACCCCGCCTACACAGTTCGACGCATCATTGATGCTTGTCCCCGTGGGCGAGGGTGGCAATATTTGGTCGATTGGGAGGGTTACGGTCCCGAGGATTGCTCTAGGGTCCCAGGATCGTACATCCTAGACCCCTCCCTCATTAGGGACTTCCGCCTCTCTCAGCCCTCTGGTTCCTCTGGACCGCCGGGTGGTGGTCCTTGGGGGGTAGTGTCAGGACTCCTGTCTGTGTGTTTGTGTTTCTGTGTTTGTCTCCCTTCCTCCTCCAGGAGGCGCCTGGTTCTGGTCCGCCACCTCACACACCTGCTGTTGGTTTCCTCGTTAACTGCTCACTGCCACTACTTCGAGGCCAGAGTGTTTGCATTATCTCTTAAATTAAACCTGTTAAACCTTTTCTCCTGGTCTCCCTGTTTGGTCCTCAGCATTTGGGTCTGAACTTTAGTAAAATCGTGACACTTCTCTGATCTTCACCTGAGAATCAGAATCTGATAGACAAACTGAACAGCTATATATATATATATATATATATATATATATATATATATATATATACATAGTGATATAATATACATTGCAATATTATGCTTTGCATTGCTTGTTTAATTCACTTTAATAAAAATCAAATTCACATTTCAGTTAGATGAAAACAATGATTCTGTTATGTAACTTGTTTTTTCTAAATTTTCCATAGGTGTGAGAGTGTGTTGTTTTGGTTGTATAGTTCTATGTGTCTCTGTGTTGCCCTGTGAAAGACTGCCGGCCTGTCCAGAGTGTACCCCCACCTCTCGCCCTTTGACAGCAGGAGACAGGCAGCAGCCCTCCTCCCGACCCCAATTAGGACAAGCGTGTCAGATAATGGATGGATGGATGGATAATGAAAATAAGACATTCATATATTTTTTAGGTTAGGTTAAAGGATTTACACATCTTTTTAGGTAAAATTATATGAGTCTTACAGGAATTCCTGACTTCTTTTAATGCAAGTAACACTACTACAATTATGCAGTACATATCAAAATAATTTGATTCACAGGCATGTTTTAATAATATTTTCTGTGTGCACTCTGACTAAAGAAATATACATTAGAAAAGAAAATAGCCTCATTGACTTTTTATATGTTAGTAGCTCAGGAACTCACCTGTTGGGGAAGTGAGTCGGCACTTGCACAACCTCTCCAATAGCATCAGGGTTAGATCGAGCCATAGTGCAGATGTCTAGACTTGTGTAACACTCCTCTTGAACCTTTAAAATAAGGGGATAATGTTGCTGAAGAACACCAAAGTGAATGAAGTTATAAGGTCTAATACAAATCTACAACTAAGACTTACCCTTATTTAGCATAAGCTGTCATACTTCACCATAACATCATTCCAAATTTTAACCAGCAGATAATAACATGACTGACAGTCAGAGATGGGAAGTAACGAAGTACAAACACTTCGTTACTGTACTCAAGTAGATTTTTCTGATATTTTTACTTTATTTTACTACTAATTTTTATGGCGACTTTTTACTTTTACTCCTTACATTTTTAGACACATACTGTATCTGTACTTTCTACTCCTTACAGTTTAAAAAATTGGCTCGTTACTTTAGTTTTGAATCATTTCAATGGAGTTACCGTTATTATTTTTCACGTCATCAATACCAAATTCAGTCTAATTGGATGGGAATCTACGTTGCATTTGACGCACCACTACAAGATGAATCGACAGATTCGGCGGTATTCATTCGCGGCAAATCATTGCAGCTTGGTGGCGGTGGCGTTAGCATAGTAGCATGGACGACGAGATGATTGAAAATGAACACAACAGAGATCTAGTCCTATTGGCAGACATCCATTTAAAATGTAGGCAACGGCATGAAAAAAGTGGTTTCTACTTTTACTTTTATACTTTAAGTAAATTTACAAGCCTGTACTTTGTTACTTTTACTTGAGTTAAGAAGTTTAATCAGTACTTCCACTTTTACCAGAGTATTTTTTAACACAAGTATCTGTACTTTTACTCAAGTACGGAAAGTGAGTACTTTTGCCATCTCTGCTGACAGTCGACACTTGCACCCCTGGACACATGAAGTACTGCCCATGATATACTTACTACCTGGTGTAGGAATCAATAGATGCTTTAGAGTGTTATGGCATGAACACATCAAATCCTGATATGTGCAGTACATGAATTGCTGTGTCGCTTTCTCACTTACTGTACTGACATACTGAGACAGAACAGATCATTTATTTTATGACATCACCTTGAAACAAATGTTTTTCACAAGCAATTTTCATCCAAAAGTCAGGATAGAGGTGCATATTTTCCTTTTCCCATTTAGACTGTCTGAAATTGGCTTAACATTCCAAGTTAAGGTTAGGTGAGAGCATAAAAAGTTTACCTGATCCTCATAACTAATTTTAAGTGTAAAGGACAGTACTCGAGTTGAGGGGGGAAGAGGGGCGCAGGTATCCCCCTTCTTAAAAAAATCTTAAAAATGATCCCCCTTCTTAAATGACCATCCCCCTATACCATTCCCTGTGACGTTTTATAACTGAATGTGTAAATTTCTATTTTATTTTAACAGTAATGGCAATACTATTGCCCTATCAACATTTGGCAGGCTGAGTAGCGCACAGCCTGCGCTGTTCTGAACAGCATCATGGCCGAGCGGCAAAGACAACGTGATTTGAGGGAATGTGAAAATAAGGAGGGCAGGGAATCATCCACAGGTTCCAGGTTCTTAGTTTAACTAATAAAGTGTCAGAAATTATCTAAAATAGAGTTGATAGCAAACTCAGGAATTGGCATCTACTGAGCGGAGAATTTATTCATCCTACACTGACTGAAGCACATTAACTGAAAGGTGTTTCCATAAAAGTAAAACCCTATTAATTCAAATTTATTTGTACACAAAAACTATAAATTTTAAGGCATCAAAGTACAAGAAATATAAAAACATATGTTTAAAATTTTTAATTTTCAAATTTCCCTTTTCGTTCATATTTTATTCCGTTTTCTTATCATTGGGCATGAGTTTAGGGCGATGCGTGCTCCCGCGACAGGGGAGGTAATTCTCGGCACCACAGATGAAACCCAGAGGAGAGAATCGAAGCAGGGGCAGATTTAGGAAATTTGGATCACTAGGCAACGACAGGCATGGGGCCCTCTGAATTGAGAAGACAACTCATAATACAGAAACCATTATAGAGACACAGAAATTTTAATAGAATAGACAAACATTATTTACTAAATTTTGACTGCCCTTAATGATTTTTTATATTTTTATATTAGGTCTAGGGAAAAATTACAATTCAAAATATCTTTAATCACATTTTGGATAGTCAAAATGCATTTTGAGATGTCTCAAATGACATAATCAAATTTGTCATTTAAAGTGTCACACATCCGGAATTATAAACAAGATATTTAAGTTACTCTGAACTAGTCAAAACTATATTTTTTTTTATATCCCAGTTATGAAATATCCCCCTAGTGCTGTAACTGAGCTGTCCTAACAGTAACCTGCAGAATTTTGCATAGCTGCAATGGGGCTGGCTCTTCTTGAAAAAGTTTCAAAATGCCACAATATAGAAAGAACCCAGCAGTATGGGATGTGCAGAGAACAAGAACTTTTTTTACTCTAAGACTCATTTAAATTAAATTATAAATTTTTTTAATATATTTAAACACTTTTTCTTGTCAAAATTTGTATTTTTTTCTTCAACAGCTTTTCTTCTCTGCTCCTCACCAGTCTTGCCAACTGCCCAGGAAGAAAGGCCATATTGTCAGGAATCCTGTTTTTGTGGGTTGTTTTTGTGATTCCTTTTCTCCTCCACCAGGTGGTGCCCGTCCTCATCGGGCCTCCCTGCACACCTGCAGCTCGTTGCTTCATTACCTGTGGAGTGCTCTTAAGCTTCTGACTGCCACTACCTCGTGGCCAGTGCATTTACCAGTTTGGGGTACTCTAGCCACGCTTAGTTTAGCAGAGTCTAATCTGAGTTTTTGTCTGCCTGTTTTGGGTACTCTAGCCAAGCTGAGTTTTTGTACACTTGAGTTTTAACCTTGCTATTTTTGTCTTTGCCTCTCGGTAGGAAGTCATCCTGCAAAACTGGACGTTTCGGACCTTCTCTCCCTGGAAGGATCAACTGAGCCTTAAACTGAGCTGGGGATTCAAACTGGAGGTTTGGATCCACTTTTCCCAAAGAGGTCGTTTGAGTTTCACTCTGAGCAAGGGATTCATCTGCACCACAGCCCGTTCAAGTACCGCAGGAAATCTGAGTGGCAGTCAGCTTCTCCGTTCACCAAGGAACAACCGCAGTCTGAGTAAACCCTGTCCGCCCACCATCAAACAAGACAATCACTGGAACATCCCACACAGACTGGATTCAATAAAGGACACCTTTTTCTGGAAGCGTGAGTCTGCAACCTATTCCTCCTCTTCAAGTCAAAGAATCTAATTTCCCACTGAGCCTGAGCTAACCGCAGTGTCTTCCCCTCACCTTTCAGTTCCAGTTGAGCAGTGTTCAGAGCAGCACTGGGCTAATCTCATTATACTAAATAAACCTGTTAAAACTTTTCCCTGGTCTCTCTGTTTGGTCTTCTGCATTTTGGGTCAGATCTTTAATTAAATCATGACAGCTATTGGCTGCCCTAAAAGGCGCTGTAAGGTGCTAAATAATGCCTGTCGTCTAATCAATGGCAAATAACTTCGACGGACCTGTTAGAATAGTTTGAACTCTTTCATTGCCTGTAGTCTAGCTTACTTTAAATTAGCCAATAGAAGCAACACTGATTTTCCGATAAACAGTATATTTTATAAAATCAATACTCTAAAAGCATATTAGAAACTTGAGAAAAAATATTATATTTTATATAGGCTTTTTTCATTTTCTGGCTAATTCTAATGTATTTTAATTTGTTAGCAGCTTTTTCAGATTTTAAAAATTATTTCAGATCTTTCAATTTAATTAATTGAATTTGAAAAAATACTTGACTTGAAAAGATTCAGATATTCATTTGCAATATTTTATGAAGTTTTTTTTCCAAATCTTAATAGATTTGTAAAATTAAATAGTTTAAGCAAAATTAAAGAAGTTTGCCTTCCATGGCTGTAAAGCTGATTACAGTGAGAAATTAGCCCCTAACTACGTAGGGGTAGTGATAGCCATGCCAGTCCAGCGACTGACTGCAGTTTTGCTGTAAGGTGCCTTGGTCATGTTCAATGGCTGGCATACCTGACATGTAACAAACATACCATGCATAGTGCTTTAGTTTAATAGACTATAGACTTAATTAGGCTATGTATACTTAAAAAAACATATATACAGTATATATATATATATATATATATATATATATATATATATATACCGTATTTTCACGACTATAAGGCGCACTTAAACGTCTTTTCTTCCCCTCAAAATGTGTGGTGCGCCCTATGGTGCGGTGCGCCCTATGTGTGTTGTAACTGCGACTTTTGAGACCACCTCATTGAGGAGATGATGAAAGAGTGGCTGAATGTAAGGAGACCAGGTGTTTTTTTTCCACTCATCACCATCACCATTAATCTGTGACTCCATGCGTGCCCATCTCACAGCTGATGTGAAAAACATGGGGAAACAATTTAACCCTGTGCTCGCTGTTCAACCGCTCGACATCGGTGTGAACCGGACCCAGCAGGTGCAGCAGAAGCAGCGAGTTTACATGCAAAGTCAATGGTTGACGCGCGTATAGGTGCAGCAAAAGGTCCTGCAGCGCGTTTTGAGCCGCAGGTGCAGCACGTCGGGATCGTTTAAGCATCTGACGCACCGCCAACGCGCTGCTGCTGCTCGAGATGGAAAAATTGAAGTTTTGCTGCTGGACGCGCCGCATCAACCAATCAGAGAAGCTGATCTGGGAGCTGACAGCGAGACAGACACAGCGCTCTGATGACATATGATATTAAATGAAAAGGGCTGGATAGATGAGGAGATGATGAAAGCGTGGCTGAGGGAGGTGTAGGCTATGTGAGGAGACCAGGTGTTTTTTTCCACGCATCACCATCGCAGTTAATCTGTGACTCCATGAGTGCCCATCTCACAGCTGATGTGAAAAAAAAGGTGAATCAATGAACGCTGTGCTCGCCGTTATCCCGGGGGTCTGACAAAGGAACTTCAACCGCTCGACATCGGTGTGAACCGGCCGTTCAAAGTAAGGCTGCCAGCGGCGTGGGAGCGATGGATGACAGACGGAGACCACAGTTTCAGGATAAGT